GAGCAAACAGACAACCTACAGAATGGGAGAAAGTTTTCATGTACTACGAATCCGATAGAGGGCTGATAACTAGAATCTATTTAGAACTCAGGAAAATCAACAAGAAATAATCAAACAACCCTATCAAAAAGTGGGCAAAGGACATGAATAGATCATATTCTTAAATGTCTTCTCTTCTGACCCTATACCCCCTTCCCAGGCATTCATATGCCAGCTACATTCTGACAACTTTCACATTTACTCATTGCTAGTTCTGCCCCTCTTCTAAGCTGCAGATCTCATAGATAACATGCTCAAAACAAAACTCATGATCTTCCTTTCCAGGCCCCACCCAAACCTCTATACAACTGTTCACCTATTTGCTGATGCCAGAAATCTGAGAACCATCCCTTTCCATCAAATTTATAGCAAGTCTTCTTAGAGTTCCATCTCCAAAGCGCATCTCAAATCCATCTATTTCCCTCCAACTCCATTGCACATCCTAGTTTAAGCAACTATCATCTCAAACATTCACCTACATCGTCATCCTAACTGCTCACCTCCATACTTTTTGTCTTGCCTCAATCCATTCTTCACACAGCAGCCACAGTGAAATTTTAAAAATACATATCTATACATGTCATCGCCTGCTTAGAAAACTTCAGTGTAGGAGCATCAGTGGATACTAAAATCGCCAGGTGAATAGCTGTTAGGCAAAAGGATAGTCACACAGTGGGGCAAAGTGTCACCCTACAAATTACTAATTCAGAGGTTAAAATGTACCTTTACAAGGGACACACAGTGGTTACTACTTAACCAAATGACCAAACAGGGTTGCTAACAGTAGGACACCCTGACGTTATATGCCTTCTGATCTGATACAAATGACATTCACATCATCACCTATGAAGCATTCTCACTGAAAATGTTTAATCTGTGTCCAACTGTACTTTTAAAGAGTTGGGTGTAACTTCCAATTTATAGGAAATGTAGAGGATAGAGGAAAAGCTAAATGCCTATGAATGGAAGTAATCAGACAAATCCAGAATGTAGGACATTCCGTATGGCAAATGGCCTGGACTCTTCGAAATGTCAATGTTGTGAAAAGAAAAGGAAAAAAGGCAAGAGGCAGGATGTGGGGATTGTTACACATTAACATTAAAAGAGACGACAAAGATTTAATAAGCAAATGTAATACATGAATCTTGATGAGATCCTAACTTTAAAAGTTATATACATATGTATGTTTGCATACATATACATACACATGACATTCTTGAAACAATTATGGAAATTTGAATATAAATAAAGCTTATTAATGTAATTAATTTTTCAGTGATAATGGAACAGAGATTATGGAGAAGAGTGTCCTTAACCAAAGGAGGTACGTGAATCATCTAGTGGTAAATTGTTATAAAGTCTCAAAAAGAAGAAAATGATACCTATATATGGGGAGAATGATAAAGCAAACACTGTAAATGATATGATTAATTAAGTAAAAGGTACAACGATGTTGGCTCTATTTTTGAACTTTTTGGTGAGCTTAAACATTCTCAAAATAAATTGTATAATGAGAAAAAAAACTCTTCAGCGACTTCTCACAGCTCTTAGGATAAAATGTGAAATCCTCCCATGATCCACAAGGTCCCAGGCATTCTGGCCCCCACCTGCCCCTCCAGCTTTCTCTCGCAAACTCTCCTCCTTGCTTACTCTACTTCACTTCCACTGGCCTAAGTTTATACAATTCTGCAAGTCTCCCCTGAAATCTCACTTCCTTCCTTGAACTCCCCAGGACTAGTGTATGGAGGGACTCTGTAGCCAAGGGGACCTGGGCTGGACAGCAAAAATTGGGATGGATTATGCAGGAGTCAGGTGGGAAAGGGACTGATTTTTAGGACTAAGACAGAATAGGATGGAATGTCTTGGAGGGAAGAAACAAGGATGGATGAGCTGAACCAGAACAGTTAAAGATATGAGTATCTTCAATTAAACTTCCATCATATGCTCTCATGGCTTCCTATAATGCTCATTCATAATATTTATCATGATTCTATTTAAACACTATGCATGCACTTATGTCATGTCCAAAATGCACACCAAATAGCAACCTTTATACTAATAAAGATTAAGCCTGTTTTGTTCATTATTGTATCCCCAATACCTAGCAAACATTAAGTGCTCAATAAATGTTGGCTTAATGGAGAAATATTACATAATTGGCTTTAAAAGAATACAATTCTAGTCAAAGTACTACTCAAGTAGTAAATGTCCACTCCAGTTGGGAGATTACAATGGCTATTATATTTAGTTATCAGAGTTGATTATTTTGATGATTATTAAAGTAATGAGCAGTTTTCATTGAATGTAATCACATTCTTCTCTCATTTTCAGGTATTTTTTTTCCCCCGTTTTCTCTATGTATAATAAACAGGTATGAAGGAACAGAATATTGTATACTAACAACTTCATGTCAAGCTCTGCTTGTTAGACTGGTAGGTTTTAACATGGCTCCTGAAGCAGGTACATAAGTTCAGAACCCAAACACACCAGTAAGCCTGACACAGAAAGCATCACCATCACTGTATGCCAATTACTAAAAGATGGAGGTGAGAAACTGTAGATTGATTGAATACAAATTCATCCCCTGATTAGAATGATACAAATAATAACAATAACTCTGCTGACTGTGGCTCCTTTGATATAGACAACAAATGTATTAAATCAGTGGAAAATACAATTTGATATATGAAAATCCACGTTATGACTAATATAAGAATGTAGCCCTGTTACATTTCATTTTCAAAATCCATACAGCTAAATGGTGACTAAACTTTGTCTAGAACTCACAGACAGCTGAATAAATTGATAAATACAACACTGGTAGTACCTGTATGGTTGGTAAAAACACACAGAGTCAGGTGTTTGGATAATTTCTCTTGGTCTTGATGACAATCACATCCAAAGTTGACAAGTCTAAGAACATAAAGGATAAATTATCAAATGCATTTAAAAATATCCCCTCATAAAGGATGTAACTACTATAATATACCCACAGAAGTAAAAACACGTTCCTGAGAAATTTAAGTAGATAACTGTTTTTGGTTAATAAATTCAGTAATTAAAAAAATACTTGGTACATAAATGGCATTGGCCTGGCAATACATAAAAAAATATATTACTTTCGACTGACATTTTTATAAGTTTTTTATACTATCTTTCAAAAGAAACACAACTAAATGTTCATATATGATGAAATAAAGCTAGTGAAATATTTAACAGTTTAGGATTATCATTGCTCTAATTCAGGAAGACTTTCATTTCTTCTACACATTGATGGCATTTTGTTTTTCAAAAGTGTCTCATGTTTTTACTACATGTAAAGTAATCTAGAAAAGAAAAAGCCTTGCCTTTACTGTAAAAAAGGAAATCCGAAGAAAGTAATGCAATAGACTCAGCTGAACTACAAGTGTATTGACCTATGACAGCTTCTTTGGTGGCTACAAAAAAGGGTTTTGAGGCTTGATTCTAAACATAGCTAGCTCTCTGACTCACTGAATTTCATAGGAAGAAAAGCATATCCATACATAAAAATGAATGAGATGCCCTACATAAATGGATGGCTAAGGAAATCAAAACAATTGACTCTATGAAAATTCTGTGTTCATTCTTGATAAAATTGTTTATATTCCCTATAGAGAACAAGAGTATAAAAAAGATATAACACACAGAATATACATTTATCTGCATAGCATGGACTAGGAATAAATATAATCATTTTGCCCACAAGGATCTATAAAAATCAGTAACAATCTATAAATAACTTACTTAAATCCTGAGTCACTTAATGATATGTCCAAGAGTGCTTCAAACTGTCAAAAAAATCAGTAGAAAATGAACCAAAAAAATGACATTAAGTGATGACAGTTCTGACAACCAGAGCAAGCCTGTCAGTGCTGTGCTTGCCTAATGATGAAAAGCCCATTTAGCCATCATTATCTTTAGAAGTCATACCCCAAATTCACAGCACAGAAAATCCACTGGAAATATTCTGGAGTTTGCATACAATCACAAGCTTGATGTATATTTATTTCTTAAAGGGCTAATGCTTGGCAATCTTTGGCTTAGATTTGAATATCATAAATGTCACATAATAGGCCAATTGGAAGCAGTAGCCTTTTACAACATAGATGACCACCTAAAAAAGGAAGGAGGGATGGGAGGGAGGGAGGATTGACTGGGTGTCTTTAGAAGAGTAGGTAAACCAACAAAAGGGCAGGAGAGGCAAATGAAATTCTTGTAATGGTATGATAGCAATCTGTATTAGATTCCAACATTAGTCCTACTCAAGAAGAACAACAACATACTGTCCATCACAGATAAAGATATTAGAGACTCCTCACAACAAGGCTAATGTTCCAAATAGCTTTTTCAGGAATAATGCTAGATTTTTACTAATTAAACTATACTCTCTCATTGGCTTTTCTTCTTTATTCTCAAATGCACCCTCCTCACAAGTCCTTTTGGGTCAAATAACTTGCAGCCACTTAAAGCTATCTATTATAAATAGACCACATGTATTACTTTCTACTACTCCCCACTTACACTTGTTTCTTTAATGTGAGGCATTCAGCTAGTGGAGATTTCCTGTGTGTGTTCCAATAACCTATATGATTTGAATTTGTTACAGAGTTAAAGAATGAGAAGGCAAGAACTATTTTACTTGCTCATAGAAGTGGATAACATATCAAGAACGCTAAGATGCTGTTTATGATAACAACTCTCTTAAAAGGGAGCAATGTGTTATAAAATTTCCTGTAGCCCGATCATTCTCTGGACTTACCATTAAGTTAAAGCTCTCATCAGCATAAAACTGGATGCATTTTAAGATACTCCTCGATTTCTAAAAGAGAAAACAGAATGACATATTAGCAAAACAAAACAAAAATGCTAGAAAACAAAAGAAAAGGAAGCAATCAAGAAGCAAACAGTAATGCAAACCTTTTCATTATTTTTAATAAACCTTCATTTACTGTTCATATCAATGAAAATGTAGTGATTAATAAATTACAGTAATGATAATGTCAAATCAAATTATTCCTATAACAAGGAATGTCCATGGACTAGTTCTCACCTTCAGGTCAATGTAGTATAATCTCTGCTCTGACATATCCCACTGAGCCCAAACAAAATCCTCAGCTATTCTGTCTCTTGAGAGATGGCTGAAATTTTTAATCACCTAAAGGGGCAAAAAAAAATTTATAAATAAGTAACTTTTAAAGGAGAACATATCTGGAATTCATAATTATTTTCCATATATATTTGTATGATACATGTAAATATTTCCATAGTTTATTTTTAGCACCTCCCCCAACTTCAACACACATACAATCTTTCCAGAAAAGCTTTAAGGCATCATTTCATTACTTACTCTTCCCAAACACTCTACAATATACTATTTTATTCTTGTTCCTAGTTTGACAGACGGGCTGGTGCTGTTGAAGGCAAGATCACACCTCCCACAAGTCAACAGCTGCATTAATAGAAGATTCAGAACTTCTTAGTCTGTAAATAACCCTCTCAGTCAGACCTCTGCAGCCAAGAAGACTTCACTACTTCAGACAGAGGCTATAATGCCTGGGAGTAGAAAACTCAGGCCTGGGAGTAGAAGTACTAAGCAATGAGCCCAGTTTGACCATAAACCATCCATGTGGCTTCGGCCATGCTTCTTACCTTCATGTCTTCCATAATGAGTATGATGATATTCCCCATCTCTCAACAATACTTAACTACTCATCCTTCAAGACCTGACTTAGGCATTGTTTTCCTGTACAAAGCTTTCCCTCACCTCCCCAAGGTGAAGGCAAAGCTCCTCACCTCTGTATTCCTAGGGTGCTTTGTCATGCTTCTATTACAATTACATTTTAATTAGTGCTGTAAGTCTCCCCCAGTGAGTGTACAGCACCTTTCTATTTTCAATGTCTTGATTGTTTCTAGCATATAATAGTATTCAAGGAATGCTTGTTCAAAAAAAAGAAAAATGAAATAAGGTATGCAAGAGTAAATTGCCAAGCATATTACACATGTGAAATATTTGTTTACTAAGTAACAAAATCAAAGAACTTTAGAACCTTAGAATCACGACATTCCAGAAACCATTTAATGCAACCTCTTTAGGGGTGAGAAAACCGAGGTCCAGAGAAGTCAGATTAGGCTGCATACTCGGGTCAGCATGGCCTGGAATGCCAGGGTCCTGGCACCCTGCCAGTGCCCTTTCAGTACATCAGCTAACCTCAAAATAACTTGACAGAGAATTAGGAATTTACTTTTCCTCCAAATGCTTATTAAGCAAAAGTAATCTACATTGAGATAAATGAGTGAAGAATGAAGACAGGTAGAAAAAATAAGGGGGAAAGGGAATGCCAGGATGGTCCATATTCATGCCTAAACCCTCTCTAATCCTAAAAGGTTTCTCCACCAAGGCTCACTTGGAACGTGCGGCAGCCGCACAGCATAAAGGAATAATGGGTTATCTCTCTGTTTCTTGCTTGCCCAGGTCCATTACATTTAGGCCAGAGGAAAGTGATGCTAGAGAAAAGATCCAAGAGTAGCTGTCTGTAAACCTTGGAAAATCCTTCCACTTTTCCGAAATGTGTTGGGTTGGGGTAGATAAAGGCATATGCTGACAAAAACATGGGCATCAAATTGTGGCACACTCAGGTTCAAATCTCAAATTTTTCCTCTCTAGCGTCACCTCACCTCTGTGAGTCTTGGTTGCTGTCTTCTCTGTAGAACTAGGGATAATTGTAATGCCACCTCTATCGTGCAGGGATGTTGTGAAGAGTATGTGGAATTGCATATCGCTGTAAGAAGCTGTCATCCAAGTCTTTAAGAATGAGGGCAGAAGTGCTTCTTTCTTGGAAGAGCACGCATGAATAAAGGAATGCTGAGGCTGTACCATCTTGGCTGGCAGAATCCTTTCTGGGGTGCTGACAGGTATCCCCTCACTCTTCCCACTGTGTGTCTATCTCTCTCTCTCGTCTCCCAAACCCTCTTCTTACTAGCCAGTCCTCTGTCTACATTCATTCCCAGTTCCTGACCCCAACTTGTTTATTCAACTCTCTCTTCTAAATTCTCCTCACTGGCCCTGGAATTTAGCCTTGGTCTTTCCTCTTGGGGTCTTCTGATCCCTGGCCCTGTCCCTGGGGCTCCCATCCACTTAGCCACTGGTGACCACTGGTAGCCCAGAGCTCCAGCCACACACTTTCTTCTGGCAATTTTCCAGCCAGGCCTCTTGATTTGAGACTTTCAGTAGCCAGTACATAATTAATAAATGCCATTTTATGTTTCAATTTTGTTCATATAACTTTAAAGTTAAAATTTTCAGGAAAAGACTACTTTGATGCAGACTAAATATTGAAGAAAATCATTTTAATATCAATAATATACTAATATCTTAAATTACCAAGAAAAAAACTCAGAAAAATAGATAAGGATATAACTAAACAATCTTTAGAAAGCAGATTAAATAGCAATACACATGGGAAAAGATGCTTAAATTCATTAATATTAAGAGAAATATAGACTAAGATAATAATAAGGTATCAACTTACGCCCAAATTGGAAATTTTTGAAAAGGTGAATACACTTACTAATGGTATAGCTAGAAGGAAAGGGTACTCTTATATTTTTCTTGTAAAATTGTCAATTGTTACAAGTTTTTTGCAAAGTAGTCTGGCAAAATCTGTTGAAATTTATTAAGTACGCATACCCATCAACCCAACAATTTGTCTGAGGAGTTAGCCCAAGGAAATATATATACCAAAACATAAAGCTATATGACTAAAAATGTTTGGGATGATTTACAATACAAAAACAAAAAAAATGGGAGTCAAGTGAACATCCATCCACAGAAGAACAGTTAGGAAAATGTGGATATTTACACCGGGGACTATTACGTACTTCTAAAGAGAATGAATTGGAGCTACTCTAGTTGACTTGTAGGTAATTCACGAAGTTGAATGGAGTGAACAACAAACCCACCCCTTGGTGTGTCAGAGGTGGGAGTAGGAGATTATGTCAGTATGGAGAAGAGTATAACAGGATATATTCCAGGTTGTGAATAAAAGTTAGAGATAAAAAGAAAAGGGAGATGTGGAATACAAGCAAAAAAAGGAAAAGAAAATGATATTATACAAAACCTCAGCATATCTGTTATGATCCCATGTTGTCTATCTGTATATATACATAAAAATTAGAAAAAACAACCAATTAGTTATACCTCTATTTAGTAACCTGTAGGGATACTCCTGATATATTAAGTAAAAAGCAAACACAAAAGCAGGTAAATGTATGCATTATGATTCTCTTTTGGTAAAAACAATTGAATCCCCATATATGTGCCTCTAACCTCGCACAGGTTTGCACGAGCAAGGTAAAAGTGAGGAAAGACCCACGCAGGCTGGGGGCTGAGGTAGAGATAAAGGGGGTAATTAACTTCATATATATTTCTATCATTTCACATGTTACAATGGCAAGTCTATAATTTGAATGACATCAAATATAGAAAACGTTATGTATCAACAACATGACTCTATCTTTAACCGTCTAGAAATGTCGCTCTTTGTGGAAGAAACACTGAAGCAAAGGAATTTCAAATCTTTACCACTCTATTTCCATCTTCTTGGGTGACTTGGATACGGTATTTCTCAATATCTTTTAAAAAAGAAAGAAAGATAATTTAACCTTCAGGAAACACATGAGTACTCTTTTCATCTAACAGTTATAAACAAATTTTTATAAAAGCAATGCAGATTAAACAACTGGCTGCAAAACAATATTATCACAGACAGTAATCTCCTGATAGAGAAAAGAAAAAACTACCTTTTCTCCATCCTCCCTTTACAATCTTTTACAGTGCTGCTTTCACAGTGGAGTCAATTCCCGCATTTACTCTGCTTCTCAGTATCAACAATACGTGAAGCATTTAGCACTTCTGTTCCCCAAGTTCCCTCAGTAAGCCATTTGCCTGCCTGATGCTATCAGTCTTGCATAGGGCTCATTTAGCAGAGTTTATCTTCAACTTCCAGATACCAAACACTTGTTTGTATGAACATACCAGACAGACAACTCATTACACAAGGTATCTGGGGGAGACATTTTCATAGGGGGTCAATTTCACACTAACAAAACCCTGAAAACTGAGTCACCGTGTAGATGGTCCTTTTCTATCAGTAACAACTTAGATTCAGGCATACTTACCTCCTGCTGGTTGGTTCCAGTTACAAAAATGTGAGAAAGAAAATTGAACAAAATTGACTGAATACAAACCTAACCCCTCAGGCCTGTCCTTCCAACTATAAACCAGCAGTTTCATCTTATGACATGAAAGACAGCTTACTAGATAAGCTCACCAGTGAATTTTGTCTTTTCCTCCCTCCCCAAACTTAAAAACATCATGTTCCAATCTTATTTGCCTCTATCTGAATTTGCCCAAGTTAGTATGTATTCTCGAGTTCTGCCATGGAATTGTCCTAGCTAGTAAAACTTTCCCCTCCTCTTGATCCAAGCCTCTCTCCTTATTATCATAGTCATCCACTGTGACAGATATCCCAAGGGAGGATGGAGTAAAGGAAAATATGACCTGTGCAACTGTTCTACAAACATCCTACCATGTGACAAAGTTGAAAATTTATGTATGCAAGAGCCCATCATTCTCAGGATGAGGAAACAGTGAAGCCTGAGGAACGACACTTGGGGGCCGAAGGAAAAGCTTTTCCCTAGTAATTCCAGGTCTCAAATGGACATCAAAGGTCCGTGGACCCTTGGCAATGGCCAGTGGACAATTAGAAGATTCAATCATGTCCCACACTTTACTAGGACACTATGTGGCATTCATGAAATCCCCATACATCACCCAAAGATACACTTACATTTCTCTTCTGAAATCAGTAACAGATGGTTCTCTGGAAGAGGACGGCTTTCAACATATGGGTAGAGGAACTGTGGAAAGGAAAGTAATCAAAATTATAAGCAACTCCCTTGCTTGCACAAATATTTCAGAAGGCGTGTATGATCACTGTACTATTACTACCACAGAAGGAACTGGGAATCACAAAATAGTTAGAGGAATCACATGCACACACACATCACAGGTCAAAGCAAGCAGGAAAGGAGAACACTTTCAGGACCTCAGTTTTCCAGGGGAAAATTGATGTCAGGTGCAGCACTGTCATCATTCATTTAAATAGTAAGGCTCAAGTTGAAGCTATTTCTAGGGGTGGTCTTCCTATTTGGAATATTTGATTCTGTGCCAATCAGAAACAAGGCAAACAACATTCATACAGAATGTTCTATTTCACACAAATAGAATGCTCTATTACAAACACACACCTTATATGTACTAGGTTTAGTTGCACAACAACTAAACCTAGTATATAATTTGAGACCCAAATAACACTTTCCCCACTACAACTTCCAAAGTCCCACAATCCAAGAGACAAAGCACAACATAACCTGGGACTTTCCAAGAAAGGACAGTGAGTCATGGTGCGGCACATGGTCAAGAATTTACAAGCCTCAAAGCACAGAATGACTGCCACTGGGAAGACAAAGCTTAATCCACCCCATTCCTCCTTCTGGGTGTTCTCCTACACGGGCCCGCCACTATGTGTCTGCCCACAGGACAAAGCAGGCCGCCAGCAACTCAAGGCCTGACCCTGTCAGCTGTGATAAGGGAAAACTGGTCACGGGATGACTCCAGTAACTTAATTCTGCCATCACCGAAAGGGTGACCATAAATCAGTGGTTTCATTTTGTGGTATGAAAGACCAGTAAATTTTGTTCTTTTTCCCCCAAAACTTGAAACCGTTATGAAAGGACATAATTTTTTATGTTCCAATTTGACAGTCAGCAGCTTCACTAAAACCAGAAAGATTTATGATAAAACATGTTACCTGGTATGCTAGATTTTCATAATAAGTTGAAAATAGAACTGGTCAATTTTTTTTAGTATTTATAGTCAAGTTTCCCTTTTAAAACTGAAAAACAAAATATTAACTATATACCATTCTTCATAGCAGTAACATCAAAATTGTAAAAAAGAGAGCAATGCAGAATTCAGCTACAAAAATAATATAGAATTATTTCAAGATTCGTGAAGTTGTACACATCAAATAAGATACTTTGTGTACTGGGGTTGAGGAAAAGCAGACGAGTGACACCGTATATATGACAAGAGAGCAAACGCTCAGTGCCTCAAAATAAGGAGGTGCTCCTCCAGAAGAGGTGGGGCCTCCCAGGCTTGCAGAGGCGGCAGGGCACGCCCGCTTAGGAAGGAGATGTGGACTGACGTGCTGATAAGCAGCAACTGCCAACCTCTGGACCTCTTAGTCTTTGTGTGTCAATCGGTGAGAACAGTTCTAGAAGTCCGATTTACATGGGTGCTGTTTTTGTGTTCTGAGGTGGCCCTAGAGCAAGGCCTAGAAGCCAAAAAATAAACAGACAGGCTTGAGACACAGCTCTCCAATAACATTCAAGGCGATTTTTTGCATTGTAAATAGGAATCTACACAGATTATGTTTATTTAGGGAAATATTTATCTTCACAAATACGGAGCTAGACTGAGAATTAATATTGCGGTTTGGGGGGTATGTAGTCTAGCTGTGTGGAAAGGTGTGTAATTTCCCACTGAACTATCTGGAAGATGCACCTCATGCTGGGCCACGCACCACTGTCCTGCTCAAGTTCCTTTGTGAAGGCAGTCAGCCCGCACACGACACTTAGGGAAATGTGCCACTGAAGATCACCACGGATTTTTTGGTAAGATAAAGGAGATGGACCCCAGGGCAAGACCAAACTCAGTGGGCAGTGGATGGCATCTCTCTAGGAGGAGGAGGAGGGAGGGATAGAGAAAGGAAGAAGCTGGGGATTTGCCACGCATGGAGATTTGGAGGAGTTTCTCTCTCCAAAGGCACAGACATCAGGAGCAGGGAGGAGGGCTAGGAACCGAGATGGGTCCACAGAATGAGGACAGGTTTTACTTTATTTGGATGGGGACTTTTTCTTTGGCCTACAGATGCTGCCATGTGTCATGGACTTTTCATATTTTTTAACTGAGATAAAATTCACATAACATAAAATTCACTGTTTTAACCACATTAACATATACAATTTTGAGTAGTTTTTAATGTGTTCATGTGTACAACCATGTACTTTTAAAAACTTTCCCTTGCTATGCTCTAATTGCCTTTAGTTGTCCCAAGCATTTAGTAATGTCTCCACTGTCTACACAGCCCTAGGTGAAGATGCTGAGGAAGCCAAAAGAACAGGCCAGAAAATGGATGTGTGCTCTGTCCCCATCACCCCTGCACTGATGACAGTGCAGAAGGAGTCACTTCCTGAGGTGCGAGGAAGCAGCTGGGAGCTTCAGGCCCAGCCCCGTGTGGAAGGAGGAGCAGCCCACAGCAGGGCCGGGGCGGGGGAGGGGTGGCGGACATGCACAACTGGAAGGACGGGCTGACAGTGGAGGATCCAGAGCAGGGGAGAGACGGCCCCTTCTCCTCACACGCTGGAAGAGGGAGGCCCGTCAGCTGGTGCTGGGAGTAGGTTAGGGCAGAAGAGGCAGATGCGTTGGGTAACACAATTTGACTCCAGGTAAACCAGAAGAAATGATGTTTTGACCCTGTAGCAAAATGTGAAATCAGGTGAAGGGAAACGATGCTGTAGCACTGCACACCACGTGTCGTCTAGCTGTGTCCTGTAAAGCCACCACGACACTGTATACTGAACCGCTGCTAGGGGAGATGCAAGGGGAGCCAGTCATAATCCACAAAGACACAATCCCAAATGTCATAATCCCAAATATTGCAATCCCTAAAGTCTAAAATCCCCCAAATCACAATCTTGACAAAATCAAAATCTCAAAAATATAATTATGGAAAAAATAATTTTAAAAATTATTTAAAAGGTATTCATTAGCCAGGTGCAGTGGTACACACCTGTAGCGCCAGCTACTTGGGAGGCTGAGGCAGGAAGATTGCTGAGGCCAGGAGTTCAAGACTGACCTGAGCAACATAGCAAGACCCCCATCTTAAAAAAAAAAAAAAAAAAAGATATTTTACATTTTTAAAAGAGGATTTATCTGAGAAACAAAAACACAACAGAATACTTCATAGGTCTATTTACACAATAAAATAGGCAATAACAACATACATATGTTTTGCAAGCATAAACACTCGGGTATACTATCTATCTTGTGATTGTGATTTTTAGAACTTTAAACATCAGGGATTTAGACTTGGGATCTTGATATTTTGAAATTTCAACATTTCAGATTATGGCATTCAAGATTGTCTTTTGGGATTATGATAGAGACCCATATGAGGATAGGTTCCAGCAAGCCTCTGGTCACAACATTCTTCTCAAGAGATCAATACATAACCTTGTTTCATGTATGTTTTGACTTAAAGACACTTCATTTAACATATATTTTTGATTTGCTTACATTGAACTCATGGCCAACAGCGCTGTAACTCTTGCCTGAATGAAGCTTATCTAACATACATGTTTTCTCCGTAAGGCACATCACAGCTTTCTTGTACTTAGGAACACTAGACAGCACTTCAGCACTGCACTTGGGGGCCATTTTAAACATAACGGGTGCGGTGTGCACCGTTTGGGGGATGGACACGATTGAAGCGCTGACTCGGGTGGGGCAAGGGCAATATACTAACCGAAACATTTGTACCCACATAATATGCAGAAAGAAAAAAGAAAAAAAAAAAAAAAAACGAAAAACAGTGAAACCACCAACAGCGCAAAAAGTTGAAACATGGCACTAGACAATGAAAACACCACCTGTTTATGGTATAAAAGCTAAAACAAGAAGGCAGAGTGCTTTCTTACAAATAAATTCTAGTGAGTAGAATTTGCAAATATGGACTCTGCAAATAATGAGGACTGACTATATCTACTCCACCTGCATTATACATGCAATGTTTCTGTATCAACTCATGAAGTTAATAAATTTGGGGATTAAGTCATTTAATCATAGATAATCTGTCAACCATTTTAAAGCTTACTTTAAATGTGTTTTAATATTCTACATTATATCATAAAATATTATGTTACTATCAGACAAACAATGGTATAATAGTCAGAAGAGCCAGAGTTGGGTTCTTAATTTCCATGTTTGCAAAGGAAATGCTAATACTTCCAGCTGGTACCCATCCTACAAGATTGCTTTGAGGATTAAATGTGATAATGTGTGTGAAAATACTTTGTCAACACCATTTCCTCTAGGTTTCATGCCTTTGGAATAATGAGATAAGTGCTAAATAACCATGCTTACTTACCTGCACCCAAATATAGCTATCCACTGCTTTTAGAACCTTCACATTGTTAACAGGGTGGATTTCAACTAACAAAGTTAAGCACTTTGATCCTGCGGAGAAAAGGAGGCTTTTAGTAATGAAGATTAGAACATCACACAGTATCTTTTCCAAAACAAGTGGGAAGAGGAATTCCCGGTAAATCCTACTATACTGACTTTGTAGCCAACAAAACAATTCTACCATCATCACACATTCCCTCTAGGTGACTTAAACTCAATCTATTCCCAGTTCCACTCTCTAGGGATGTTTGGTGACTCCAGGACCCCCAAAAAGCAATTAGCCCAGCAAAGGACCTGCCTTCCACACCCTCAGGAGCCTTGAAGCTGCAGTATTTTGTTATGAAAACCACAGGACATTCAAGAAATGCAAACATAAAAAAGGAAGTCTCTGAGCAACCCTGGAAACAACAGCACATACCAGGGAAAGCAAATGTCAGGTTACGAGAATTCCTAAGTTTACGGAAAAGCATCACATTTAAAACACAGTCGCTTCTGAAATAGGTTACCGTATATGACTTTGTTCTTGCCAGCAATATGTGAGAATGCCTGACAGACTGGATTCTAATGGGGATCATTTTGCCCCTCAATTATCATGATTCTACAATTTGCAAATTGGGCATGTCTGAACATTGAAAATGTAAATGTGTTAGCTGTTATATTAGTTATTCCACAAGAAGAGGTACTTTTCTTAAAGTTTGACACTTTGACTTATAAGTTTGACTTTGACACTTCTTAAAATCCAAAATCGATACAGAAAACACCCTGAGGGAGAAGTCAATGTGCATGGAGTGAGGAACAAGTTCCCACCCATCCCTCAGCCATTTTTAGTAGAGCTGCACAGGCCCTCTGGGCTTCTCAGTCTAAACAAACACAGTTCAATTCAGCGTCACTCCAATTCTGCAGCACAATAGCAAATATTGCTTGTGTATGAAAATATAAAGATATTTCTGGTGAACATGTTAAGGCTGGCAGTACCTATCAGTAGGACAGGAACTGGGTTTCCCTCAGGGATGGTGGTAGAGCACTGATAATGAACCCCTTATTTCCTTGGTGTCACATCTGAGCAAATGTCACAGAAGATAGCATTTAAGAAGTTGTCCACGGACACAAGCTAGAATGCAGTTACCACAGATATCTAAATTTAGAACAAAGTTCCCCCTCCCCCAAGATTTAACCATAGAAAAGAAGTAGTTGCCTTTATTTGAGCTCTTATTAAGACCCTCAGGCCAGGTGCAGTGGCGCATGCCTGTAGTCCCAGCTACTTGGGAGGCTGAGGCATGAGGATCACATTAGCCCAGGAGTTTGAGGCTGCAGCGAGTTATGCTGATTCCACCGTACTCCAGCCTGGGTGACAGAGTGAGACCTTATCTCTAAAAAAATAAAATAGAAAGACTCTACTATGATCAGGTGCTCTCTCAATGACTATTTTGAAAAATAACGTATAATTTGGGGATGGCACAGCAGCCTAGAAATTAATCAATGCCTGTTTTCAGTATGTAAGAAAGTAATCGGACAATACTGCTTTATTTAAAAGAAGGGCAAAAAGATATATTAATAGGACAATTTCTGGAATATGCCCTAACAATTGTGAGGACTGGATATCTCCAAAAACATGCCTTTCAAATATTACAATATTTGTTGTCTTGAAAAGGTGAGACAGTGAGTGAGTTATGTGGAATCACAAACATACAACTATAGAAAAAATGAAAATCAAATGTCTGGTAAATGGGTACTTGTGGCTTAGGATGAAAATCCTTGTGACAGAATCATACACCCAAGGTAAAGGCAAGGCGACTTGGAAATCTGCTTGACGACTCAAAAATGGCTCCAGGAATAAGATAGACATTGGTGTAAAAGATACTCAAGAAGAAAAACAGAAATGTTCTGTGAAAGGTGGGGTTGGGGGGGAGCAATTTTCCTTATTATGTTAAGTGTGTGTGACTAAATTAATATATTAAATAATATAAGCTGATATTATTTTATCTCTTGCCCTAAAAGTTCATATATTCCAACTTGGGAAAAACAACTTTTGATGGGGGACAGGGAAAACTTCCTCACTGGAAAAATAAGGAATTGCCATATATTTGTCCTTTTTAGCACGAATTTCTATCCAAGTAAGATAACTGGCTATCAGCTAAATTTTCTTACCTTTAAAATGGAAGGATCTTCAAGGGCAGAAACCATCTTGCTACACCAATTTTTCCCTTCTATAGTACAGCCCACACATTTAACTAACTAGCATAATTCCTATTTGCAAAGAGTAAACCTTACAAGTAGGAATTGCTCTCAATAACATACCATATGCTTTCACAGTGAAACAGGAAGCATTCAGGATTAGAATTCTAGAGACAATTCCAGTTTCAGCTCTGCCACTAACCTCATATATACTTTCTAGCAAATCGTCAAGCTTTCCTAGGCCTGAAGACCTTCTTATTAAAAACAAAAAAACAGGCTACAGACCAGATTATTTCTACAATCACTTTCAGCCATAAAATCCCACGATTCCATATGAAGTGCTAAATTAAGAATATAGAGAATAAAGTATCGGCGGATTCTGGGAGGGCATCACTGAAGGGGAAGACAGGGCCCAGAGGGTCTGGATACCATGGGAAGGAGAGCTAGCAGGATGCAGGCACAGGGACAGATGTGACACGAGGAGGACAGAGGCTGAGCAAAAGAACCCGGCCCTACACAGGTAAAGGTACACGTTGTGAAATGGTGACAGGTTGCAGGAGTCCGGTGGGGCTGGTTCTGAAGGAGCTCTGGCTACTGGAGCTCCTGAAGCAAACCACAGCTCCACGGAGCACCTGTGGCACTTAACTGTCCTCAGTGGCACATGGAAGCGGTGGAGAATCTCAGTGGCAGCGGGCCCTGGACACATGTGGTCACCCCAATTGCTGCCCAGTGGAGATCTGCTGTGCCTTGTGGCAACCGAGACTCCCAAGAGGCAGAGGGCAAAGGGGGGCTTCCTGTGGAAGGCCATTTTCTAAATAAAGCATTAACTGCCACAACAGAGAAGCACTGCTGATAAAAACTACGTTGTAAAGTATATGGATCACAGAATCCTACTTTGTTTAAATGAAAAATGTTATAGTTTGTCTCATTTGCAACAGAAAAATCCCATTTTAAGCAGAGTGTTAAAACACCTGAGGCAAACTACATTTTATAATCAAATGGCTTATAAGGTCCTTCATGGACAGATGAAATAAACATTTCCAATATAATTGTTCAAAGGACAAAAGATTATAATAGATCTTATAGTGCTTTCTGATTGCATTGTATCTGAAATCTTAACTGAATGAAATGAAACCTTCCCATGATGAGCGATACCTTCCATGCATTGATGACTCCCAAATATGTATCTCTAGCCCTAGCCTCTTACCTGAACTTCTGACTCATATCCAAATTACTACCTCGCATCTCCACAGGGACATCCATTAGGCATCCCAAACAGACACGTCCAAAACCAAACTCTTCTTTCCTGCCCCTCCCATCCACACACACACACACGCCCTTGCCTGTTCTCGTCAAAAAACCTTGGATTGAGTCATCCTTGACTTGCCTCTTTTTCTCATGCTTCTTTCAAATCCAGCAGTGAACTTTGACAACTCAATCCTAAATATATCCAAACACAACCACTTATTCCTTGCTCCGCTGCCCTAGTCCAAGTCACTGGACCACTGAAACAGCTGCCCAACCACTCCCTGCTCTCCCCTTGCCCTCCTGCAGCTATTTTCCACACAGCTATGGCAAACCTTTTGCAAAGTCAGTCAGACCACTCCCCTGCTAGGAATCCACATAGCTTCCCGTCTTGCTCAGGGTGAAGGCCAAGTCTTTGCAGTGGCCTCCTAGGGTCTAGGTGGTCTGCCTGCATCTCACGCCCCTTTTCCTTGGGCCTCAGTTCCCACCACTCTGCCCCTTGTTCAGTGCACTCCAGCCTCACTTACCTCCTCGCTGACTTTGAACAGGGAGTCTACTGGGCACAGTCCTGCCTCAGGGCCCCTGTGCTGGCCATCTGCTCCGCCAGAAACATGGTTCCCCCAGAGCCACGTGCTTGCTTCCTCCCTTCTTTCAGGTCTCTGTTTACACACTCACCAATGTTGTTTCCCAGGATCATCCCCTGAATAAACTAACTGCACTCAAATCCTTGCCTCAGACTCTACTTGTGGGGAGACCCACACTAAGACAAGAAGTTATCTCAGGTGACAGGATTACTCTAGGATCACTCCAGCCAGAGGTTGGCCTGAGGGACTAGGGAGAATGAGACAGGGAAGAAAAGTACACCAGTAAAAATGGGGGATTATCAAATTAGTGATCACCTTGGATCTTAAGCTGCTTGGAGTGCCCCTCAGAATTATCCACTTTAGGGATGGAAAGGGGGACCATTTCTCCTTCAGCTCCTTGCCCCCCATTAGTCATGGGTTGCCCTATTGGGCATCATGCCCAACCACACTTCCGGGTTGTACGTGTGTAGGTTCTAAACAGATTTTCCCAAGGGCCTTAGGCAGAAAAGAAGTAGGTAGGGCACTGAGGTCAGGCACTATCAATTTACACCCAGGAAGGGCTGGTTCTCACCATAGTGGTTGGCATAAAAGGTGAGCTATGATGTAAAGCTATGAGGTATCTGATACAATAATAATGTTCATACTAATTTTTTTTTTTTTTGACACATGGTCTCGCTCTGTCACCCTGCTAGTTAGAGTACAGTGATGTCATCATAGCTCACTGCAACCTCAAACTCCTGGCCTCAAGTGATCCTCCTGCCTCAGCCTCGCAGAGTGCTAGGATTACAGGCATGAGCCACCGCACCCAGTCCATGCTAATGTTTTTAAAGATGTAAGCAGATAATCTCACTACAGATACATCAAAATTATAAGACTGAGGATGCACATCTAAATAGAATATAGGGTTTAATCAAATAAAACTTAAAATTGGTGTGAAAGTACATTTTATAATCACCGATGATCACTGTTCTGTGTGACAATCAGCCATAGATGGTAAATATCGCAAAAAATATAGTTACTACTGGGTTTACCAGAGTAAAGAATGTTCAAGGCTGAAAGCAGTAAGACACAAGAACAACTGGGCAGCACAGGGAGCCACCTGAGGTTCTGTACAGAGGCACAGCCTGTCTCAAGGAACGTAAGTGGCGAGGCTTTTTCCCTTCTTGGATAAAGGGGTTCATCAGCCCATCGGTCAGGGCCATATCCTGGTTTTACCCATACCCTTGTTTTAGGAGTCAGGACACTAATGTCCCAGATCATATTTCACTTAACCTAGTCCAGCATTGTCTCCTCTGAAGTGAGCATTGCTCCTAATTCTAAAAGGGGCAGAGTGCGCTAAGGGTCCTGATAAGAGGGGGGCATGGCACAGAAGGAAGTGGGGGGCTGTTGTGGTTCTCAGCACATCATACAGCGGGGAGGTAAGGATGAGTAATGCGAATGATGAGGTTTCAGGGTAAGTAAGCCTCCTGCCCATCAATGTCACCCATAAATTCTTTTGCTGAGGCCCAAGAAGGTCCCATCCAGACCCAGCTGTGGGTCCCTTGTCACTCTAAGCTGGCTCTGCGGGGAAATGTGTGTCATGAGAAGCCTGGGACTGCCTCATAATCCTCATGTGGAAAGTACGTACAAAGGTTTTTTCCACCCATGTGACCGTAGAAGAATACATCTAAATGGGAACTATGCTAACAATAGAAGGGATTTAAGTGCCAAACAAACAGAATGGATGGAAAGCACCTGGGATCAGAACAGTACACTACTGATGGGATCTACTGGACCAGAAGTTGAAAAACGGTAGTCCAGAGGCTGGCTCCAACCCACAGGCGGTTATCATCGCCCGAGTAGGATTTCTAAAGATATGTGACCCAATATTTACAAGTTAGATTTTTACATAAAAGTCCAGACTTCTCTTGATAAATTGAAAAGCTGGCCCCACTGGACTAGTGACAACAAAAAGCCAGAGCTGACTATGTAGTGGCTCCCCCTTTGAGGTCCTCCATGGGAGCCCCCCCACCCCACCACTAGTCCCTGTAGCTCTTGAACTCTTTTTCATTCAAGAGAAAAAATATTTCTAGGTTTCTGTGTTAAAAATGGGTGGGGCAAAAGACGTTTTCTTGGTCAATTTTTTCTCTTACACTCGGTCTGCTTCACTTACTTACATGGTCTCTCTGGCCTCTGTATGCATCTGCAGTTGAAAGCCAGGACTAGGCTGAAAGCTCCACGAGGGAGGTTAGTTACCACATCTCTGTTACATACCATTGTATCCCCAGCACCATGTACAGTGCCTGACCCACAGCAGGCACTCAATTGTGGCAGGCTGTTGGGTTATAGACAGAGGAATGATACAGATATTTTTTAAAAAAGGGAAGCAGGGGGTAAGGGACCATCACACAGCTAGCTACAACCTGTAAAGTGGGCCTTGGCAAATGAATGGAATTGAGCTTTTGGGGACTATTCACAATGTGTTTGGTACCAATCAATACTTAACCAGATATAAGAAAAAAAAAATGGTATTCTTGACTTTCCCAAACTTTTACACCAGCTTTTGGCCATAGGTTTCTAGTTCAGCATTTATTCTGCATGTGATAATTACCGTCTTAATATTTCTGCTATTCACTGTTAGATTATTTTCTGCATTTTCCTGTTTACTTGCAAAAGATATTTTAAAGAAAGCCTCATTCATGCTTGATATGACCTTTGCCTTCTCATTCTGAGATACCGTAGGGCTATTTCTAAAGATGCTTGAAATTTTACTAAGCAGTGCAATAAATCTTCATTTACCAATATGCACTTATAATTTCATTACCTGGTTGAAGCTCATTCCTTCTTCCTTCCTTAGTAGATTGAACTAAACTTGCAGCTAATGGAAAAAGAAAAAAGTCATTAGCAATTGATCCATGGGGTGGCTGTTAAAGTTTACTATTTTATATCTAAAATAAATGAGGGCTCAAAGACCTGTCAGTGGAAGATTAAGGTAGACTACAAAGCATTCTTTTTTTGTAGACATACTCTACAGATTCTTTATTTCAAACCTAATTTCCCAAGAACATTTCTTTCCCAGAAAGTCACTGTTATAGAATAATCAAATTGCAAAAATTCAATACTTTGGAACTCCTAAAAGATAAAGTTCAGTTATTGACATGTAGCAATAAGAGTTCAACTTACCAAGCAAAGTTCTCTCACTGTTGACAGAGCAACTGACAACCTGCAAGTCTTTCTCAAAGGTATACAGATGCTATTAAAATAAAAATATTTTTTTAATTTGGAGCTTCATATTAAACAACAATTGTATGAATATAAACTCCCATTAAGCTCTGTACTAAGTTTCATTGGGGCAAAATATTTTACTAAAGAACCATCAGTAAACTAGTTTAGCCATGCTGAGACATTCCAGAGCATTCTTTATGAAAAAGGTTTCCTATTGTAGGCCATGTTTAACACTGAAACTTAGCCATGAGATAATCAAGCACAGTGGTTAAGAGCACAGACCTTGATCCCAACTAGATCCAGGTTCAAATCCTGACTCTACCACTTGAGCTGTGTGAGTTTGGACAAATTATTCAGCCTTTCTATCCCCTCATCAATAAAATAGGAATCATAATATCTACCTCATGGGAGTTTTAGGAAGAGCAAGTGAGATAACCTATATGAAGCACTTAGTACGATGTCTGCCACACTAGGCATTCAAATGTTAGCTATTATAATTATCGAAGTAGGTAAAGTTTTAATCAAATTACACAACTTATGATATCATTAGTTATGTCTCAGAGACTGTCACAAGTGCATCTCCTGGAGGACTTCCATATATAGGGGACCAGAAAAGTAGTCTTCTATCATTAATCTTTTTTGTTTCTTGTTGCAATTTGAAATGTTCAAAATTTTGCAAGATTCCATTTCCTTAAATATTAAAGAAAATGAAAATGGAATGGAGGAGGAGGATGTGATGTGCAGATTGAGGAACTGGAAAAAAAATCAATTATATTAGGCAAGCTCTCTTAAAATACACTCAGAGGGTAAAGGAAAGATAAAAAGTCTTAGACCTCAGGAGAGAATAGACAAAGAAAAACAGTAAGTAGCAGAAGTATTAAGGTTATTAATACCTGCACGGTCAAAAAACACTGAGAACATGCTAAAGCCAAAAGTTAGTGGAAAATATTGGGAAAGTCAGGAACAATTGATTAGAAAAAATGAAGTTTCAGTAAATAAGAAGGTACTGAATTCATGTGAGAAATTTTGGTTTCCTTTCATTCTGGCTCTAAATTGAGGAGTTCTAAATTATAAGAAAAATCATGGATGTATATACTTAATTTTTAATGTTTTATCATTTTAGTTAGTTTAGTCTCCATAACAAGTATAGTCTCCATGTTAAAAAGATGCAAATATTACCAAATAAGAATTCAAGAAATATAAATATTCCATCATACACGGCCAATTCCAACTCCCTCCCAAAAGGAAGCATGTTTATAATTTGCTCTGTAGCCTTCTAGATCTCTTAAAATGAATTTTCAATATATATTTATGCACTTATATCATTTTTCTTACAAGTTTTTTTTAACATAAATGGAATATATTATTCTGACAACTTGCTTTTCTTCATGTAACAATATGTTCTAGAGAGCCTTCTGTGGCAGTATACATTTATAGACTTCTTAATCCTTTAATGGCTATGTTGATTTCCAAAGAACTTTCTAATGGGCATTTAGTTTGCCTCCTACTTTTAGGTATTATAATAATCCAGTGAACTTCCTTTTACATACGTCTTTGTGAACTTGTGCAGGCAGTTCTATAGAATCAAAACCTAAAAGTGGAATTTCTGGGTCAAAAGGTATGCAAGTATCAGAATTCTTCAATTGTAAGCATCAAAAAATCTTCTCCAAACTAACCTGTGCAAAAGGCAATTAGTGGCTCATCAAATTGAATAGTATAAGGCATATGACTTCAGCATTGGCTTGATACAAAGCTGGAAATATCCATTCTCTCAGCTTTCTGGGTTCAATATATTTTTAAGCCTCCACACAATGGAACTCCAAGTTCTATTCCCCAAAGCCACAGCAGTTTCAACCCAGTGGGTTTGCTCATCACCAAACCCAGTGGAAAAGATAAGAGTCCATATCCCAGATTCCCAGTAAAGTCCATTATTCCCTTTTATTCAACCAGCTTAGATCATGTCCACTCTTGTATGCACTAACAGGGAAGGCCTGCATGAAAGGGAATGGAAGAGAGGGTGAGGAAGGAAAGGTATTTGCAACCTGCCTACTTAAAAGTAATACATTGCTTCCCATTTGGCTACTGCAAGGAAAGATCATTCAGTCAAACCTTCAGAAAGAGAGACTGAGGTAGAGTCAACTTATTTCTCCCTATTCCTCTAAGCGCATCTTAAAAATGGACATTACATATAAAACAAACCTAGGACAACTCTGAAAAGTAGACAGAAGATGGAAGACCCTCCAGGGACCACAGGCCCCAAGGAATGACACAGTAGTGAGTTTCCTGGGTTTTACTTTTGTATCGCATATCCCAGACTCAGAGCTAAAGAAGTGAAAGCGACAGACATGCTGACACGAGCATACAAAAACAAATATACATCCATTCTCTCTAGCCAAAGGAACAGGAAAAGGGAAACCTTGCAAGATAGAAAATTTTATAGACTATAACCATCTTACTCCAGCCAAACATCATGGAAAAAAACACAATCCCACTCCTACCTCTAACCAGGAAAAGCTGAGTGGGGTGTCTAGACTTCCCTCTTTGACTAACTATAACAAGGCACCCTTCCCACTCCTGCAAGAATGATATCAGAGAAGACAAAGTAGGAACTTAGGACTTTCGGCCATGCACAGTGGTAATGAGCTTTCCCCCACCAAGAGTATTAGTGAAGCCATGTGGGGATCCTGGATGTCTACCCATACCCAGCACTAAAGAGGTGCTTCTCCCCCTCCTCAGTGGGATGGTGTCAGAGGTGGCTGAATGAGAAGCCAGAAATTCCACTACTATCCAATGATAACAAGTTCTCCACCTGCCTTCCCTTACTCACTCCGACTCTTCTGCTGTGGTATCAGTGAAGGCCTAGTGGGTAGCCTGAAATCCCATCTCTTATCTGCCATAACAAGGTGCCTCTCCCCATTGGGGTATCAAAGGAGGCCAGGTGAGGGAACCTGAACCTTCACCCCTACCTAGCAGTAGTGAAGTTGTGACTCCCCATTCTCCAGCAGGTATAGTATCAGAGAAGGCATGCTAAAACAGAAGACTTAAATAAGATCCAGAGTCTCATAATATTCAAAATGTCTAAGATACAATAGAAAATCATGTATCATGTCAAGAACCAAGAAAATCTCAACTTGAGTAAGAAAAACAATAGGCACAAGCAATGAGATGACACAGATATCAGAATTTTCTGACAAAGATTTTAAAACAGCCATAGTAAAAATGCTTAATTACAAACATGTTTGAAACAAATGAAAAAATAAAAGCATCAGCAAGGAAATATATAAAGAAAAAAACCAATGCAAATTTCACAACTGAAAAATACAATAACCTCAATTCTTTTTTTTTTTTTTTTAACAAAACCTCAATGAATAGACTCAACACAGTGGAGAGGACAGAGGAATCAGTGAACTTGAAGATAAAACAATAGAAATTACCTAATCTGAAACAGAAAGAAAATAAACGGGGGGTGGAAGGTACAGAATCTCAGATCTGTGAGACTAAAACAAAAGATCTAACATTCAAAAACATAAATAAAAATAAAGATCAAACATTCATGTAATCGGAGTCTATAAAAAGAGAGGACAAACAGGGTAGAACTAAAAAAGTATTTGAAAAAATAATGGCTGATGACTGAAAATGTCCCAAATTTGGCAAGAGACTACAGATTCAATAAGTTGAGTGAACCCAAGCAGGAAAAACCCAAACAAATCTGCACCAAGACACATCATAATCAAACTTCAGAAAACTAAGGACAAAGGAAAAAATTTTTGGAAGCTGCAAGGAAAAAAAAAAAAAGACAACACCTTATCTACAGGAGAAAAACAATTCAAAAGACAGCCAATTTCTCATGAAAAACCATGGAGACCAGAAGAAAGTGGCAAAACATTTTTCAAGAGCTGAGCAAAAAGAATTGTCAATCCTGAATTCTATATTTGGCAAAATTATCCTTCAGGAATGAAAGAAATAGAGACATTCTCAAAGGAAACTATGCAAATTTGTCATCAGCATAACTACCCTAAAATAATGGCTAAAAAAACAAAAAAGTTCTTGAAAGAGAAAGGAAATGATAAAAGAGGAATCTTAGAACATCAGTAAAGAAGAAAGAACAATGGAAACAGCAAAAATACGGGTAAACATAGACTTTCCTTCTCTTGCGTTTTCAAAATTATGTTTGACAATTGAGGCAAAAAGTATAAAATTGTCTGATGTGGATATTAAAGATATAGAGGAAATAATGAAGACAATTGTATTAATAAGTGGGGAAAGGTAAAGGAACTTAAAAGGAGGTAAGGTTTCTATGCTTCATTCAAACTGCTAAAATGTCAACACTAGTAGATCCTTGTGGTGATGGAATAGTTCTGTATCTTGATTGCAGTGGCAAATACAGGAATCTCTGCGTGTGATAAAATGACATGGAACCATACACACATTCTAGTAATGTCAATTTCCTGGTTTTAATATTATACTACAGTAACACAAGATGTAAAAAGGGGGGAAAACTGAGTAAAGGGTACATAGGACATTGCTATACTTGTCTTGCAAATTTTTAAAAAACTAAAACTTTGAGAGAAGGATGGGTAAGTGTTAAGACTCAGGCACCATTATCCTGAAGCTCTATTACCGAGAGAAAGCACCATCTCTCTCTTGGTGGCAATTTTCCCAGAAAAAAATATAGTACTTGAAAAGAATTTTAAAGTCCAACTAGACTTAGCATACAAATTCATTCCCCCAACAAAACTATCAAAGGGCTAATAAACATATGGGTTGTAGAGTTTGCAAGTATGTGGAGGGCATGTGACAGAAGGGGAGGATTTGTTTAGCAACTATGGTTCAGAAGCAAGATTTGCCTATTAACAAAAGCTAATTTAGATTTCCTATTAATTTATCCTTTAGCCAATTTATTTTCAGAAAAAATCTCCATATTTTGAAATCCAAAGAACTTTTGTCACTTAAAGAAACTTGAAAAACAGCCACTCTGGAAGGAAGCTATCACTACCAATCCATTGAAAAACATGACTGAATTCCTACCACTCACAAGGCGGTAAGCCAAATGTAATGGGCATGGAACATGTTGGTTTGCAAAATGCTCTTTACTTTCAAGTGCATACGGTCTTGGGGGAGATGAATACATCCACAAAAGTTAGTAATAGCCACCACAACCAGGTTGACAGAAGACTATGATGTCTCCTCTCAACCCGTCTTCCTAGAATATTAATACAAACCACACAGAAATTAAGCTAAGGATTGCACTAAAAACTTGAGATTTTATTGTCTCTTTCCCTAGACTGTGTATTGTGACAGGATTTGTTTTGGTTGCCACTGTGTCTCCAGCACCTAACAGGTGAAACACTCAATGCATATTTGTTGGATCAGCAAATGAATGAATGAATGAATGAGGGTGAAAGGGGTGGGAAAATGGGAAAGAAGAAAGAATTAACCAAGCGTCGTATTAGAAGCCTGAAGAGTAAGGTGACCTGTGAGAAATTTGGAATGGATAAAGGATGTTTAAGTTCAAGGATGCCTAATATTCAATTCTAAATTGTTTCTACATAGGCACAAAATGACTCCCTCCCTTTTGCCCCAAGAATTAGACAAAGTCTATCACATCAACCAATGCCTTACGTGAGCAGTTCGGGGAAAAATTAAGGAAAGGGGGCTGAGTTCCACACCCAGATCATTGAGCAGTAACAAGAAGCAAGACAAGTGCAGGTTATGCAGAAGCAGAATTCAGAGCCAGAGGTCATTATGAGATGACCTGGGAGCACATAAATCTTGAAGATGGCATCAGACTTCCTACTTCCTTACAGAATATAGGAATAATTGGTTTGAGACAATTTTACTTAAATCTCAAAGGACTAAAAGACTTCAACTTATTTTTGGTCCAGGAGTCCTTATACTTTTGTTTTTCTAAGATAATGGGGCCAAGAGATGGTAAAGGGAGAAGAAAATGAAAGAAATATAAACTAAATTTTTAGAAAATGAAGTTGGAACTTATATACAACTTCATTTTATATTGTTTTGTCTTGTTTTTTGAGACAGGGTCTAGCTTTGTCACCCTGGCCAGAGTGCAGTGGCATCATCATAGCTCACTGCAACCTCAAACTCGTGGGCTCAAGCGATCCTCCTGCCTTAGCCTCCTGAGTAGCTGGGACTACAGATGCGCACCACCACACCTGGCTAATTTTTCTATTTTTTGTAGAGACAGAGTCTCACTCTTGCTCAGGCTGGTCTTGAACTCCTGACCTCAAGCAATCCTCCCATCCTGGCCTGCCAAAGTGCTAGGATTACAGGCATGAGCCATCGTGCGAGGCCTCTAACTTCATTTTATACTACATTATTTTCAACTTTTATGTAAAAGGAGGAGACAGAAAGAAGAAAACTCTAAAAGCAGTAAACAATGAGTAATCTATGATTTATGGTAATTTTTTTTACCTCATTTTGTCTGGTTTGGCAATCATATAATCCAAAGAAGATATTTCCCTTATCCCCCTAAAAAAAAAATTAACAAGATGTGTATTAAATGTCAGTGTTTAGGAAGTTACAATGTTACTAGTTTTAAAGCAAAGCTGTAATAATTCAACCAATCTTAGCAATAAGCACTTTAAAGGAAGCTTGTTGTGCATGTCAGAAAGGAACTAAACCTGATTCGGCTAGTCATTTGGGCTCAAAAAATGAGACAGATAAACACGTACAGCTCAGTGAGTTTGGGAGACCCCATCTAGTAGGCCTCGGCATGGTAAAGGAGTGAATCTTTTCGTATCTCCATTTATATCTTTGAGAACATATATGATGGATAACAGGAGTGGCGATAACAAGTCCATGATATTCTTATAAGTAAAACTTCTGGAATCATACAATTCCTTAAAGGTACCATCCTTAGACACAAAGTATTTTTGAAATCAAAAGAAAAAAAAAAGTGCAGTGATACAGCTGTACAAAGCACACCGGCCATTGGAATTATTCTTTCATGTGTCCCTACTACAGAAAAGTTAACAGTAACGTTAAATTTTTCTTAGAATACAACATCGAAAACACATTGTTAAATAATGCCTCAAAAGTCCCAGCATATCTAAGTTTAAATAATCTTATTTAACATTTTATCAAAGATAAAAATGTAACACATTAATTAGGTTACGACATATTTTATTTGGCATTTTTCCTTTAGAAAATGAGATTGTTCATATATTCAAAAATTTTGAGTACTGTGTCAAATGTGTTCATACAGTTTTATTTTCTTTTAAAAAGAGAAAACATTTCATAAGACTGAATTTCAATCATCCTATTCAATCTCACACACAAAAAACAAGGTCATATGTTAAAGGCTAAATGTCTTTAACAAAAGTTAAATGCCAATAAGTCTTATTACCCCTTAATAAGGTAAATATAGAACTCTGTAAAGAAAATATAAATGGTTAAAATAGTAAATATGTTATATATATTTTATCACAATATAAAAGAGTACACACATACCTTATAGGTATAAATAATATTTCCATTTCTTTCAACATTTAGTACACGTAAGCTCTCATAATTATTTTCTAAAACATCTGAAATGATAATAGCAAGTTAATACTCAGATGATGTTTAAAAACATATCAAATATATTAGTGAAAGAAGCCAAATACAAAGAATACATATTGATAATCCCATTATATAAAGTTTTAAAACAGGCAAAGCTTATCTATTTTAAGTGAGAACGGTAGTGATCCTTAAGGAAGAGGAAAGGAGTAGTAATGAGAGGTATCTCAAAGTAGTTTTCTTAGGTATTGGTAATGTTGTATATTTTGGGTATATTGATACACTTACTTTGCAATAACTCGCTGAGCTGCACACCCTGGACTATACACTTTTCTGTATGTTATACTACAATAAATTTCCAGTATCTAGTAGCTTTTGCTTTATGTATTTTGAGGCCATATTACTAGAGGCATACAAACTGTTATAGCTTCCCAGTGGATTAATCCCTGTTAGGCACTCAGCTGATCTGCCACATATCTCAGTAGTCACTTAAAGCAATCAAATAAAAAAGAAAGTAACAGTCAAGGTTTTAATCACTAACTGTGATGCTATAAGCAAAGGGCTGAAAAAGAGAAAAGTGCCAACTTCCCTGTTCTATTTTCCATGGAACAGTGCCATTACAAGGGTCAGGTGGGTCAGCGCAGATATGGGGCTCATTTCACTGCCAAGAGAGCCCCCCAAAAAGGTTCCTGCAGTATTACAGATTCAGAAGCTGAGAGGAGGGAGAGGGAGAAGAACTAGGAGTGGAAAAGTAATGAGAAAAAGTGTCTTCAAAGCTCCCCACTTTTCCCTACTTAGGTGGTATTAGCAGAGGCACCTAATAAAAAGAAGCTTCCAGATGAAGGCACCTGGGCTAGGAATGCAGCCATGTGTAAGTGTATGGCCAGCCAGGGAAGCCTGAGTAGTGACTGCAACTCCCTTGAGAGACTGCTGTACATCAGCCAGACACCAAGTCTGGTCTGGAGAGGGCAGCTTTCCCCTATGAGGCCCAGTCAGGTAAAGCCTTTGTAACTGAATGTGATCAGGTCTGAAAAATCACACGTAAGTTTTTAAACCAGGAGCTGGACTAGTCAATCTCTTGTTATAAAACGTCCTTTATCTCTAATAATTTTTTTTTTTTACCTTAAAGTCTACTTTGATATTAGTATAGCTACATCAGCTTCCTTTTCGTTAGTGCTTACATGGTATAATTTTCCTATTCCTTTACTATTAATCTTCCTGTGTCCTTATATTTAACATATGTATCTTATAATGAATATCCACTTGGGTTTTTTTCCCCCAGCCTGACATTCTTAAACTTTTAATTGGAGTATATAGTCCATTTACATTTAATGTAATTACAGATAAAGTGAGTTTATATGTATCATATTACTATTTATTTTCTATCATATTACTATTTGTTTTACTCTTTCTTGCCTTCTTCTGGACTAATCAGAGTTTATTATTTCATTCTCCTACCTATTAACTTGTCAGTTATACATTCTTTTGCTATTTGTTAGTTATACTAAAAATTATAACATGCATCCTTATGTTTTAATATTATGTGATGCCAAAAATGTGAATTGAAACTCTCATACCCTGTTAATGGGAGTATAAGTTGGAAAACTGCTTGGCAGTATCTACTGAAGCTGAACATATATGACTTAGCAATTACATTTGTACATATATTCCAACAGAAACATATACATACGCTCAGCAAAAGACACATGTAAGAATGTCCATACTACTGTGGTTCATAGTAGCCCAAACCAGAAACCCAAAATATCCATCAAGAGATGAATTGTGGTATATCCAAATGGAAAACTATATAACAAGACTGTAACATGCTATAATATGCAATTAAGTAACTGAAGCAAAGGAAGTTCCCCCACCACCAAAAAAAGTACAAACCGTATGTTTCAATTTATATGCAAGTTTTAAAAACAGACAAAACTAATCTACAGTGTAGATAAGTGACTGCCGAAAAGGAATATAAAAGACTTCTGAGGTTCTATTACAGTTTTCTTTCCTGCTCTGAGTGCTAGTTACATAAGTGGGTTCCACTTTGTGAAAATTAACTGAGCCTTGCACTTTTTTGTTTGAAAACCATATTTTTGTGAAGGACATAATGACTCTTTACACAAAGCATTTAACTTATAAACTATCATCTTTCTTCTAAAATTGTAGGATATTTATCCTAATTCTACATTTAAAAGATTTCAGCATTAATACAGCATCAATAATTATCATTAATTGGGGAAAAATGTATATTTTGTTGACTTCTTCAAAAGTTATCACAAATTGCTTAAACTTGATTTATTTTTCCCATACATGACCACCAGTGTTTTTAGATGTTAAAATATGATTACATTGATTATGACAAATTCTAATATTCAGACAAAACATATACAAAATATCCTATAACTGAGAGCAAATTTCAGTTTGTATTCCTAGTTAAAAAGGAAAAAATATGGCCAGGCACTGTGGCTCACACCTGTAATCCTAGCACTTTGGGAGGCCAATGCAGGATGATTGCCTGAGGCCAGGAGTTCAAGACCAGACTGAGCAACTTAGTGAGACCTCTGTCTCTACGAAAAATTAGCTGGGTGTGGTGGCTCACACTTACAGTCCCAGCTACTTTGGAGGCTGAGACAGGAGGATCACCTGAGCCTAGGAGTTGGAGGTTGCAGCGAGCTATGACGCACCACTGCACTCCCCGCTGGACACAGCAAGCCCCTGTCTCCCAAAAATGAAAAATTAAAAGGAAAAAACAGGATAAAAATAATTGGTGAGCTGGACATCTGCACTGGATAGCTGGAAAACATTTAGATAGAAGAAGAGCAGGCTTCCCCGAGCTCTCTCTTAACCACCCGTCACAGGAAGCTTTGTGGGTCTTCTGGGAGTGAGGCAAAGGGATGGGGGAAGGATTTTTTATGTATGGGTATATGCATTTTTCTATATATATATGTATATTGAGCTGTCAGACACACTGCACACTGATTTTTAAAAATAAGGATAATTATTTGGTGTCTTAGGAGAATAGGATTCAAATAATTAGCTTACTGCTAAATAGTACTTCACAATTTAAAGAGTTCTTGTTTCTATTTCATCCATACCACATAAGGTATTACAGGCCTAATGTACTAACAAAACAATCGAGTTTCAATTAGGTAAACAGACTTGGCCTGTTTTCACATTGAAAAAGTGGCACAGACTGATCTCAAACCTAGAAAAAAGTAAACAAAATAGCGGGCCAAGTGTCTTGTATCAAGCTTACAATGGGAAAATGGATAATTACTCAAAAATCCTTATAAGGTAGATTTTGTAGACATCTAAAGAGAATTTCAATGAGTCCTTTTGCAATCCTACATATGACTCAAACTTCTGGAATGCAATGTGTCAATGTTTTGAGAAGTATTTTTTCTTTCAAGATCATAAGGATGTTGGGAGAGACCTTCACGAAAGTACACTCAAAAAGTTTCGGCTAAGATAAGCAACTCCTTTACAAGAAATCTTGCTAACAAAATCCAATTTACTTGCAAAAGCACATCTAATTTTCAAATCACTAAAAAATTAAGAGAAAAATTTTCCAATAAATGCAAATTACAACAAATGGTACATGCTTATTCCATTAAACCAGTGGTTCTCAACTCTGGCTGTCTTAGAATCATCAGGGAAGCTTTGAAGAGAACATTGGTGCCCTAAGCCCTACCCAAGATATTCTGATTTTATTGGGCTGGTGTGGGGCCCACTCTCTGGTGCGTATGTGTTTTTAAGTTCCCCAGGTGATTCTAACATGTGGATGGGATTGAGAACCACTAAACTCTTAGTATATAATTGTTTATATTATATACTAAGCAATATTCATTAGATACCATAACTAGGACCAGCTTATAATATAACCACAGTAGCCAGAGTTGAAAGACATAAAAATTAATGCTTTCAGGGGTACATTAGGTAATAACAACTGCAGACTTGAATAACCCCGCAGTCAAGTATGTCATTCACATTTCAAGGACATTTGAAATAGACAAATTCGGCGATGTTGGAAATTCAGAGACCAATGTCTCACCACACAGTATTAACCCATCAGCCCTTCCTCCCTACATTCGTTGCTCATGTTTTAACACACCCTTTTAGAAGGGGTATTTCAAGAACCTCTTTGCTTATTCATTCTGACTCTTCTCCCAGGAGTTCATCACTGGAAAGTCCAGAGGAGGAAGTTTAGCAATTTCAAATGAGGAAATGTGGTTTAATTTTTACAGTTCAGTGTATTTAGTGTTCATGAAGAAAGAAACGTAGCATTTTGACAGATACTTGTATAAGCAAACCTCTGAAAGAAAGGAGAGTACCTCCTAGATACTAAACGTACTGGCAAGGTATAACTCGTATAAAAGCTGGTTTGCCAGATGTTTTCACCTATTTCAATCTATTACTTGCCAAACAAGTGATTTCACTGTATAGGAAGACGTTTGCCAAATGTGTAAATTTTATTCCCAACTGCTAAGAGACAAAAATCGAAAGTATTTTGTGTCTATTCAATAACCCTAGTTGGGAAGAAAAAGTCATAGAGCCATATACAAAAAGTTGAACTAGTTTCCAATACATAGATCAAGAGGTGATAAAATATGATTATTCCTGTTCTGTAAATAATTCACATAAATTCTCAGGCTCAACATGACCAGATATTATAATTCTTAAATCCTATGATCATGTGATTTATATTTCATATTCTGAATGAGAAAAAGAATGGGGTAGTTAAGCAGCAATAAAAAGAGATAAGAAAGGAGACTAGGAAAGTAGCAGAAAGAAAAGTAAAAAGGAAGGATAGCAGCAAGAGAATAATGAAACAAGTGAAAACAATATGACCGGGGCAACCTCTTAACCCCCAAGTCAAGCTGGGGGAATACAGGAAGCAACAACAAAAAAAGCATTACTCCTGAATGAGTCACCTGCTAAATATATCACTTCCCTGGCAAAGATGAATGATTACAATATTTGAAAGATGAAATCAATCTGATGTATCATAAATCCAAGAATAATCAAAGCGGGCAAGAAAACCTATATTTTTTGCAGGCTTAAATATGCATGACATTTAAACCTTAGAAAATTTACATGCCACAGATCTTAGTTTCTTGAAGATGTAATCCACCCCAACAAGGGACCTTGATTTGGGATGCAAAAAAATCAATGTGCAAAATCTATTGTATGGCTATATACCAGCCATAGTTAGAATATGTTTTTAAATGTGCTATGAGAGCAACAATAACAACCTAGGGAAAAAATCTAGCAAAAAGTGTGCAGAACCTTCATGGAGACAACTCTAAGACTTATTAAGAGTCATTAAAAGAATCTAAATAAATAGCAAGCTATACTTTGTTGATAGCTGGGAAGATTTAATATTCTAAAAATGCTGGATCTCCACAAACTGATCTGTGGGGGCAATGCAACTCAAATCAAAATTCCCATAGACTTTTTGGTGAAATCTGACAGGTGAATTCAAAAATATATATGAAAGATCAAAGGGCGTAGAATAGCCAAGATGCTCCTGAAAAATGCTAAGGTTGGGGGACTTACCCAACCAGGTGTTAAGACTTATCATAAAGCATAGTTATTAAGATGTCATCTCAAGTTGAGATAATAAAACAAAACAAAAAACTCAGAAAAGCAGACCTTACAAAGAAGCTTGATGTGTGACAGAAGTGGCTTTGTTACCAGTGAGGACCAGAGGACCATTTGGTTAGTAACATTGAAACAGCTGATAAAATGGAAAATTAAAACTGGATTCCTGCATCATTTATCACACAAAAATTAATTCCAGGTAGATTAAAAAATATGAAAATCAAAGCTATTAAGCTTTTAAAAAATGAAAAATGTCTTCATGACTTCTAAGGAAGGATTTCTTTAAAAGATCAAAAAAGCACATGTAAATTTTAAAGGAAGACTCAAATTAGACTACATTAAAATTAAGAACTTCTGTTTATCAAAGGCACCATCACAAACTGAGATAACAAGGAACAGATTGAAAGAAAACATTTGCAACACATATGATGAATAAAGTAGAATCCAGAATACATAAAGAACCCCTTTAAAAAGTCAATACTTAAAAAAACAGAATAGAAAAATGGACAAATAATGAACAGATTTCACAGACAGGGAAATTCAAATGGCCAATAAACACATAGAGGTGCTTGACTTCAGAGCACAATGAAATAACAATTAGACCCACTAGTTTGACAAAAAAAATTTAAAATCTGGAACTATCGAGGGCTTGTGAGGATCGGAAACATTGCCACACCACAAACGAGGGTGTTAATAAGTATACCTCTTCGGAAAACCTTTGGCACTACCCAGGAAAGGTGAAGATGTGCATAGCCTATGACTAAGCAACTCCACTCTTAGACATATATCCTAGAGAAACTTGTGCCTGTGTGTACCAGGTGGTTATTAAAAGCATTGACCATGATAGAAAACCCCAGAAACCTTCCAAATGTCACCCACTAGAAAAAGGGTATGTAAATTGGGTTCCCTGGGAAGCACTCTGAGACAGAATTCAGTACCTCGTATATTCACCAGGGAGTGCTTAGTAGAGTGGGATTAATACTGTAAAAGGAAGGACAAGGAAGCAAGTTGTGGTAGGGAAGGAAACCAAGCAGCAACGCAGGCCCCACAACCTCAGATGAACTTGGAGTCCCCCGCAGGGGAAGCTCCAGAACTGAAATGGATTGCCAGAGTTGTCCCATGCTGAGTCAAAATGACCAGGCCTTTAAATACCACCTCAATCCCTCATTGGATGTGGACCATACTCCAAAGAGAATGAAGTTGGATGATGCAGCCTCCGGCAATCCCTGAAGGGGCTGACAGCTGAAGATTGTCTGCTGACCACACTCACAGCACCTGGGACAAGCCCTTCTTTGAAAGGAGAATCTAAGTGGTGTATTTCCATGTCCACCCTCATGTCGTGCGATATATTCATACGGTGGAATACTACACAGCAGTGAAAATTAATGACCCATAGCTAACCTGTCAACATGGATAAATCTTACAATATTGAGAAAAAAGAGGCAAAAAGGATACATACAGTATGCTTTTGTTTACTATTAAAATTCACAGACAAGTAAAATGAAATATTTTGCTTAGGGAGATATTCATATGGGTTAAAACTACAAAGAAAAATCAAAGGAAGGTTAAAACAAAATGTTAAATGATTGTTAACCTCTGGCGGGGTGAGAGAGAAATAGGATCTGATGGGGCACACAAGAGCCTTCAAAAGTCTTGATATTGTTCTGTTTGTAAGCTAGGTAGTGGGAACATGGTTTCATTTTGGTTTTTTATTGTTATTTATAGCTAACATGTTATTCATTTAATGTAATTGTTTTGACTTTTAACCAACTTTTATTTCAGGAGAGACCATTCCCGAAGTTCACCCCACAACCAGGAGCAAATTCAGGAACTAAATCTGGTCCTCTTATTCCTTGACCCCTTGTTGACTAAAATGGTATCTTATATGCACACAATTTCCATGGCTGACTTAACTCAGCTCCCTGGATATTTTTCCAGGAATATAACATACGTATTTAACGAGAATTAGTTAGCACCACTAAGAAATCTTCAATTGTATTTGTTGATGTTAAAATATGAAGGCTTCGCATTTAGAAAGCAAATATGTGGAGAGGAGACATTATAATGGTATAATTATTCATAATTTACATTTGAAAAGCTGGGACTTTGAAAGGAAAATAATTTGCACAAATGTGTGTAGTAACGGCTATGCTAGAAATTAGAATCCCAGATTCCCCTGACAGTGCTATATACTACAGTCGAAAAGGAATTAACTTGTGGGTTTTTTAAGCTACCACCCACTGGTGATTATCAGAGGTAACAATCCTCTTAGTATAATAGAACTAACAATCTTGTCAAGATATTTGCTCTGAAAGAGTAAAATACTACCAATATCAGAAAAGCTACTCTTTCCAGTAAGTTTACCTTCTGAGGCCCCAGGTGTATCTATTGTTCAGTGGAACATCAATACGCAAGTTTATGTTTCTTCCCAGATGAGTGAAAGATACGAAGAAGCCAAATCCAACTGGGTCGCACCCAGCTTTTCAATTACAACAGGCATTTCTGAAACATAAGACTGTGGCATTTCACACTTCATCTAACATATTTGCAGACACCTGCCATTTAGCAAAATAAGGTGCAAATTCAGAAAAAGGACTGCTTTGTAGTTGAAGACTGACTTGAAGCTGCCTGTTGTATTTCAAAAGTTAAACCTTTGAAAACTTTTAGACATTCAGGAGACTTTAAATTCGTCCTCACCCCCCAAAAAGAGCAAAGTTTTACTAACAATGACACTAACAGCAAATTCACGGTGTAGGCTACACTAACGTATATGACTCCTTATTTGTAACTAACATGCCAAGCCAAGGAAACCTACAAATAATTCTCCTAAAGCCGTACAACAGTGTGAAGATACAAGTTGGCAATGGAAAACTTTCACGGAAATTTAGGAGAAAAGACTTATAGATACAGGTAATTTGAAACCCCTGCCAAAAAATGTCCTCTAAAGTCTACAGTGTTTACGGAAAACCAGAGGGCAGAGGGAGAGGAAAGCACACTGAAGTGTTCCCACGCACCAGGTGGAACCCAGGGGCAACACTGCTTTGAAACTGAATTTAAGCCCTGAAGATGCTCCATTATTTACAGCAAACTTCTCTTTAAAAAAACAAAAACAAACAAAACTGGGAAATTACAGGGTTCCCCTTCTTTAAAGTAGATCAATGCTGGGAAGACTCAAAAGTCACTTTTCACTCCCTCACCAAAATCAAAACAAGGATCTTTGTGGCAGATGCCTTGGCAAAACCAAAGCCTCAACTGCTGGGAGTGTATTCCAATTCACCCTGAGGAAGCCGGGTAGGAAACGAACTGAGCATCACTTTGTCTCGCTCCAGGCCTGCGGCTGGCGCAAACGGTGTGCTCAGTGGAGCTGAGGGGGGCTCGGTGCTTCTCCCCATCACCGCCGGCAGCCCGAAAGCCGTCCCCTGCCTGCTCACACCGCACGTCGGAGCGGCACGTCCCCTAAATCACGGACGCTGTTCACACAGACGCAGAGACGTCTCACAATCGTGGGGACAAACCACGCAACTGTTACTTATACGGCTTGGCGGCCACGATTCATCTTCTCTTCCTCAAAACGCAAAACGCGCAACTTCCACGTGCCCCTTATCTTGGCGGAGCCCCGATCCCGCCGACGAACCTTCCTGGACCGGTGAGCCGCGGACGAAGCGCAGAGAACGACCTCTCCCGCAGCTGCTCCTCCACACCCGCCCGCGAGGTGATGCCGGGGGACCGCTAGCGTCCCGCCTTTCTGCTAAGGGTGAACTACCGTGGGCAACCAGCAAGCCAGAAGCTGGAGGCCTCGCTAGGGGAGGTGGCGCAGCCCAGCTGCGACCTTCACCCAGTGGCCGGGGGTGAGGGTGGCAAAGCCAAAAAAGCTGGGACTCTACAAAGGCAAGCTCGGGCACCAACCTTTGCAGGCCGGCGGAGCCACAGGCTGCTCCCAGTCCTGGGAGTCCCCAGGTGTGGGTGACCGACTCCCCGCCCCCATCCCGCGGCCAACCCCGGCGCGCGCCTCCCGCACCTGAGCCGCCGCCTTCGGCCCCCGCGGCCTCCGACACGGCCCGCTGCGCCCGCAGCCAGGGGAGCACGTCCTTCCGGAGATCGAAGTCGGCGACGAGAAGGAGGGCCATCGCCCGGACGCGGCCACCCGACGGCTCGGGAGCCTCGCGCCGTGGGCATTCCCGGCCCCGGTCGCCACCTCGCCCTTCCACCCCCTGCGCCCGCCCCCTCCTTCCTCCCCGCGCCGCCCGCTGCTTTCGGTTCCGCTGCGTCCCGGCCCGAGAAGCCCTGGGCGCCGCCTCCTCCCGGCCCGCGCCCAGCGCCCGACCGCGAGGGGACCAGGCCACGGCGCGAGCCCTCGGTCAGAGGACAGACGGGCGGAAGGAATTGGGTGTTTGTTTAGTTCCCTGGCGATGTGGCCAGACCAATGGTCTCCGAACGTTGCTGCACGTTAAGTGTGGAGGGTAGGCACTTTCTTCTTGATCCCCGGGGGATCCAGGCTGCAGCAAAGTTTGGAAACCCCTTGGCTAGAGAGCTGGGTCACCAGAGGAGGTTCGAGGTCCCCACAGCGGTATAAGTAGGCAGTGTCTTGGGCGTATTCGACCCAGCTGCGGGGTGGTGGCGCTTTATTAGTGTTTGGGCAATAACGGGCAGCTGGGAACATGTGCAGACGGTGATTCGTATTTTAAGAGACACTAAAAAGAGTTAATTGGCTTAACACAAACAAGGTCCTCTTTGCCGTTAGCTCCCTACACTGATTCCAGAAAGCTGAATTGTCTAGGATTCCCTCCGCAGAGATTTGTCCTTAAAAAGGCTCTCATTCTTCCAGGGGCACCTGTCATCTTGGGCACCTTCTCACCTCCTTCCCTCTCCCTAGTGTTTTCATCATCTCGCCACTCCTCAGCTGCCTCTTCGTTCAAGCGCACGCCATTGGCACCACCAGGGCCAGTCTATCCTGAGCATCGACACCAGGTTATTACTCTCCCTATAACGGAGCTATCCTCCTGTCTCTATGCAGAAGGCCTTGAGTAACAGCTCGCTGCCCAGGGTAAAGCGCCTGCTCTTTACCTGAGCCTTTTCACCTACGACTTCCAGTCCAGGCTGACGTGGCTCCCAGAACTCTGATTACACCTTCCTTCTTTCTAGAAAAAAACCTTCAGGTCCTTACAGCCTGGAGCTATAGAGCCTCCTCACAACTGCAGCCTATATTAACCCTCCAACCCTAAACACCTAGAGTAGCACTGCTAGTACCCCTCATCTGCCAATCATATACAGTACTGCCTTGAGACATGAAAATTGTATCTTGAGTCTTGGCACAACCCCTCTGCCTCCCACCAGGGGCTAACAGAGCACCCTGGAAGGTGCTCAACAATTATTGAGGAATGACTGCATACAGTAATAGACTAAAGAACGCTTTTTCACATTTCTCAAAGTTAGGGTCTGAAAACTACTTTCACTGAAGTCATCTGGGGCACTGTTTTACAATGCAGACTGCTGGTCTCTAGACTTGGGGAAGGCCCAGAAGTGTGCATTGGAGCCTCAGGTGATTCTTAGGCTTACTAAAATTTGAAAACTAAATGTAAAATAGTATTGATTTTTCCCCTAGAGACATGTTTCTCCAACTGAGGTAGTGAATGATTTCAGGTGAACTCCACTACTCACCACCAAGTACCTAGGAAAGTCCTCCCACCTGGAAAGTGCATGAAGATTTAAGATAAATGCCTAATGAGGCTAATATTGTCAGTGAATAAAAGGGAGGCCACTGAAGCCATGAAGAACAATTGCAACTAATATTTCATATGAAATGAAGCTTGTTACTTTTGTCATACAGAAATGTCCTTGTTTGCCAATTTTTAAAATTCACTAAGTTTCCATTGTTTTTATTTTTGCAGTGAATTTGTTAATAGTTTTGCCAAGCAGGACTGATTTTATAGTCAAGCAGTGATGATATAAAAATTCTCTTCAAACTGGCCAGGTGCAGTGGCTTACGCCTATAATCCTAGCACTTTGGGAGGCCGGGGCAGAATTGCTTCAGGCCAGGACTCTGAAACCAGCCTAAACAACATAGTAAGACCCAATTTCCACAAAAAAATAAAAAAATTAGCTGGGCTTGGTGGCACACACCTGTAGTCACAGCTACCTGGGAGGCTGAGGCAGAAGGATCGCTTGAGCCCAGGAATTTGAAGTTGCAGTGAGCTTTGATGATGCCACTGCACTCTATTCCAGGCAACAGGGCAAGACCCTGTCTCAAAAATAAATAAATAAAATAAAAATAAAATTTATCTTCAAATTAAATTTAAGTTTAAAAAACTCATCAAAGGCTGGGCTAGGTGGTTCAGACCTATAATTCTAACACTCTGGGAGGCCAAAGCAGGAAGATAGCTTGAGCTCAGGAGTTCAAGACCAGCCTGAGCAAGAGTGAGACCCCATCTCTACTAAAAAAAAAAAAAAAATAGAAAAAATTAGCTGGGCAACTAAAAATAGAAAAAATCAGCCAGGTGTCTTGGTGCATGCCTATAGTCCTAGCTACTTGAGAAGCTGAGGCAGGAGGATTGCTTGAGCATAGGAGTTTGAGGTTGCTGTGAGCTAGGCTGATGCCATGGCACTCTAGCCCAGGCAACAGAGCAAGACTGTGTCTCTTAAGAAAAAAAAAAAAGTCAGCATAGAGGTGAGAAATAACCAAGATGGCCAAAATCATAAAGGTGCTATATGAATGAATGAACTTTGGAGTATAGAAAAAAGACTGAGGAAGGGTTACTTATTGTCTTAAACTTTGTGAAGATTTAATAGAAGAAGAATGCTGATGGGTTATCCTTATCTAAAAAGAATAGAACTGGAGACTGTCATAGCTTATTTATTTAAATGCTCCCTCATAGAATCATTCAGCACTAGAATTGGCTTTTGGATGAAGTAGAAATATTTCTGCTTTGGGGGAGATTTTAAAAATAAAACATCTTCCTTAAAATCAGAGCACAGCATAGAGTTGGAAACTTAAAGATCTTATAATCAAGACCTTATTTTATAGATGAGGACACTGAGGCTCAAAAAGGTATCTGATCTAAAATAGCAAAGCTAGTTAACAATGATGCTGTAGCCTCCTGCTACTGGTGTTTTTGTTGATTAGGTTCAGCAGGCTAAATTGGAGGACTCTTAAGTTACCTTCCAGTCTAAGGATTTCTAGTCATCCAAATACTACACACCCTGATTGGGATGGAATTCTGAGACCACAGTGAGATATCACAAAGCTCAGATCTTATGGTTTTCTCAAGATAGATTAGGTTCTTTGTAATTTCATCTTGAGTTTTTAGATTTGAAGGAAATTAAAAGAATAAGAAATGCAGGTTGAGTGAATCATTTGTATGTGGAAGATAGTTTATTTAACCGAGATGTTAAAATGAAAGTATGGAATTTGATTTTGAGTCAGTTAGAGAATGGCCTATTTAACAAAATCTAATACAAAAGTCAACTTGTAAGGTATCTTAAGGAAATGACTAAAGATATTAAGTTTGAAATTTGCATTCAGTGGTACAATAAATGTGCCAAAAGAACATTTTTTATTAATACACTTGTGTGTTGAAATTAAATAGAAGTAAATTAACTAAAAAGCAAAACTCACATTTTGGGGGCTACTCGTTTGGGAGGACAGCCAAGAATTTTTTCTTAAAATTAACAGAGGTTACCCAAAAACCCAACAGAATCTAAAGGGTACATAATAAGTAAGGTTCCTCTGCACTTCTCAGGAAATAATCTAAATTTTCTAACTAAGATGCTAAAGCACTTACATGAGGTAGCTTCTTACGTCAATATTGAAAATTCTGCTTTCCTGTAGTAATTTATTTTTGGTAGAAATATTTAGTATATTTTTAAAGAAATAAGTAATGTGGTGGTCATCATGAATCTCCAAAATCCAGTTCCTCCCATCCAGGTGGTTAGTTAGGAACAGGTTCACCAGAAGTTAATGAAAACCCAAAGTAACAATAAATTAAACACAGATTTTATTTTCTCACTTATCTGAAGGTACATAGTCCAAAGCTCATAGGGCAGGTCCCTGAAGTAAGCAGGGACCCAAGCTCCTTCCAGCTTTTGGCTCCATGAGACCTTGAGTGTACCCTTGTCCTCATGACCCAAGATTGCAAAAAGCTTCAACCATCATGTGTGCATTCCAGAAATCGGAACGGAAGGAGGATAAAAGAGGAGTTGCTACTTCTTCTTTATGGATACTTCCTAGGATTACAGAGCATTTCTACTTGTTTTACTGACCAGAATTTAGTTACATGACCAAATGTAGCTTCAAAGGAGGCAAGGAAATATACCTGGCGAGTGATGTGCTCAGATAAAAATCAGGACAATATTACTAAAGATGGGTGAAACGAATATTCAGAAGCAACTAGAGATC